TAGACTGAGAGTATTTGCACCAAGACAAATGCCTCGTGTGTCTAGTCACACTTGGCCAATAAAGAATTCTATTCTATCTGTCTAGATGACTCTGTGTTACTGAGCCAGTTGCTTACTAAACCAAGATACGTACGTAAACAAAATTTATCCTTTTTGGGATGAGCACAGAATCCGCTGGGATGGAGTTGCAGCAGAGCTGTTCTGAACACCAAAGCGACATATTCTTGCAAACTTCCTCAGTTAATTCAAAGCGTACGTAGTATTCCTTGCGGGAGGGAGGGGAGGACAAAAACAAAAACAAAACACAGAAATGTTTAGCCAGCTAGGAAACAAGAGAGGCTCCTTCCTGAGCACTGGAACACAGGCAGTCCTCAACTTACGGCCGCAATTCAGAGTCCCAAATTTTCGGTCGCTTAAGCGAGACATTGAGTTTTTGTCTCCGTTTGACCCCCCCCCTCCCTTGACACGGTCGTTAAGTGAATCTTCAAGCTAGGAACACGGTTGTTAAGTGAACCTGGCTTCCCTGTTGAGTTGGCCGGCCAGAAGGTCACATCCTGTGACTCAGTCATAAAGATGAGATTCATCGCTGGAGGCTGGGCTGCCATTTGTCAGAAATGGTGTAGGGTCTCCTGCTTGGACGGGGGTGGGGGGTTGGACTAGATGACCTACAACAGTTGACGGCGAACCTTTTTGTTGTGGTGGGCCGAAAGCACGTGCCTAATGAGCCCCGCCCCCCCCGCCCGCGCATAACATCCCCGCCCCACCCCCTTACTTGCAATGGGCATGCGCGCACCTCCCAGCTGATTTTCGGTCCGTTTGAGGCCTTTTTCACCCACCCGGAGGCTCGAGGGAAGCCTCTGCAGCCTCGGGAGGCCGAAAAATGGGCCTGTTTTGGCAGTATACCGGAAGTGCCGAAACGGGCCCGTTTTTCGGCCTCCAAAGACGGGAGAGGCTTCCCTCAAACCCCTGGGAAGGGGAAAACGGCCTCCCCGGACTCCAGAGGCTGAAAATGGGCACTTCCGGTATTTCCAGAAGACCCGTTTTTCGGCCTCCCGAACCACCAGAGGCTTCCCTTGAGCCTCAGGGAGGCCGAAAAAGGCCTCAAAGGGGCCGAAAATCAGCCAGGAGGTGCGCGTATGCGCAGTGCAGGAAAATTTGGCTGGGGTTCGCGTGCCCGCACAAATGGCTCTGTGTGCCACCTGTGGCACTTGTGCCATAGGTTCGCCATCACGGGCCTACAAGATCCCTCCCAATTCTGATGATCTGTTATCTGTTATGAGTCAGTTGCCAAGCGTCTGAATTTGGATCGTGTGACCACGGGGATGCCGGAACAGTTTGCTTAATGTGGAAAACAGGGCATAAGTCACGGTTTTTTTTTTTCAGCACCATTGTAACTTTGCTAAATGAGTGGTCGTAAGTCGAGGACCGCCTGCATTGTGAAGGGCTTGAATTCACCTTAGTGACTTTTAGGATATCGGCAAGAAATCTGGACATGACAAGACGCTTCTTGGCTCGAGTGACAGCGACGTACAGCAAATTCCACTCATCTTCCGGAATGGCCTCTGGGACAGCTTAAGGCGAGAGGGAAGGAGGGAAAAAATGGAGTTTAATGGGAGTTCTTTGAACAGACCTGCTCCAAACACACGCCTCAACTCTTGAGCACTGAGTGGTGCCCCATCCCAGCTGCCAGGAAAGGGAGGTGTTCCATTGTTGATTAGATGTTGCTATCAGGGCTTCCCTAAAAAAGGAGGGAGGGAAGAATGGATGGGTGGATGGAAGGATGGAAGGAAAGAAGGAAGGGGAAAGCGGAAAGGAAAATGGAGGGAGGGAGAGTGAAACGAAGGAAAGAAGGAAGGAAGGAAGGAAGGAAGGAAGGAAGGAAGGAAGGAAGGAAGTGTTCCACTGTTGATTAGAAATTGCTATCAGGGCTTCCCTAAAAAGGAGAGGGAGGGAGGGAGGGAAGGAGGAGAATGGATAGATAGATGGAAGGAAAGTTAGAAGAAGGTGAAAGAAAGGGGGAAAGAAAAGGAAGGAAGGAAGGGGAGGGAGGAAGAAGAAGGGAAGAAGGAAGAGAGGGAGGGAGGGAGGAAAGAAGGAAGGAAGGAGATAGAGATAGATGGAGGGGAGGAAGGAAGATGATTGAGATGGAGGAGAAGAAGGAAGGAAGGAACATGAAATAGAAAGAGGGGAGGAAGGAAAGAAGGGAGGAAGGAACATGATAGAGATAATAGAAGGAGGGGAATGAGTGAGGAAGGAAGGAAGGAAGGAAGGAAGGAAGGAAGGAAGGAAGGAAGGAAGGAAGGAAGGAAGGAAGGAAGGAAGGAAGGAAGGAAGGAAGGAAGGAAGGAAGGGAATTATACCCACCAGGTAGACTCCGCGGCAACCTTCCAAGGTAGGGCCATGTAAATGGGATGCTCACAAAGTCGCCCGCAACTTGGACGGTGTCAAATTCCAGCCCTTTGGCCTTGTGCACAGTCCCTAGGATGTAATCTAAAATACACAGAGGAGAAACAAGGAGGTCACTTGGCTTTGTCAGAAGGTGGCAAAAGGGAATCCCGTGATCCCAGTGGCCAAGCATCTGAATTGCGATCATGTGACTGTGTGGCTGCTACAACGGTCGTTAAGTGTGAACCACGGTCCTAAGTGCCATTTTTTTTCCAAGTGCCGTTGTAACTTTTTTAAAAAATATTTTTTAATAAATAAAGTTTTATTAAACAAAAAGAAAACATTTAAAAACAGTGAACATGCTGCAATCATCCTGACCCACCTAATTGTCATAGAGAGCTGTTTCAGATGACAAATAATACATATTTACATAGTATATATATCTGTATCAACAATTCTTTATACTCCTAATCTGTTATCTTAACATCCTTATTGTGATGACCCACAAAAATAACAAAGTCACAAAAGTAGAAAAAAATTCCCTTTAATGCCTCCAACTTGGCCCCCCGTGTCCAGTTATCCTCGGCTGAAGATCAAACTCTCCCAAAAAACGGTCTATGAAGGGAGTAAATGCAGTCCAAACCCAAAGTAAAGATAATTAGAAATAAAAGAAACCAACACAAACCAGGCTGAAGTAATTAACATGGTAGGCCAGGATGATAAATTACAGACTTCCAAAAGATAACGCAGCACCCACAGTCGAGAGGACGCCAAAGACCAGATTAGCCTCAACACAGATAATGCACACTTTGCTTCCAGCAAAGAGCTGTGTGCAAGCGCTCCACTTATATCCTGTTCTCCCAGCTGCAACTAATGAAAGGGAACAGGGCCGCTTTCTCTCCCGTAAGCCACGTTGCTCCCTTCTCTGTTCCTCCCTGCATGCCCTAGGATGAAGAGGGGGTGGCCCTGGGCCTTCTTCTGAATGCTCAGCCGGACTGTGCCCTTCCCCTGTTTCTTCCACAGCCACTGGAGCCACACACCCACTCAGCTGCTTAATCTCTCCCTCAGAATCAGACTCCAACTAGGGCATGACAGAGTCAGAGATATTTCATGAGAAGAATCCTCCACTCCTCTGCTCGCAACAGAATACCCTATGCCTCCAGACTTGAAATTTTAGGTTCAGACAGCCTAGAACTATGTGTCTTCGGTTCGACCTAAGTGTAGTACATAAAATTATCTGCTACAATCTCCTACCTGTCAATGAATACTTCAGCTTCAACCATAGCAACACAAGAGCACACAATAGATACAAACTCAAGGTAAACTGCACCAAACTCAATTGCAGGAAATACGACTTCAGCAACAGAGTGGTCAATGCCTGGAATACTCTACCTGACTCTGTGGTTTCATCCCCAAACTCCAAAAACTTTAGCCTTAGACTGTCTACTATTGACCTCACCCCTTTCCTAAGAGGTCTGTAGGGGGCGTGGATAAGTGCACCATCGTGCCTACCGTCCCTGTCCTAATGTTCCCTTTCTATTAGTATCCATTTCATGTACTCACAATCATGTTTATACTTATATCTGTTATCTAATACATGCTTGACAAAATAAACAAATAAATAAAATAAATAAAGTAGCTAGTTTGAATTCTATTCATGTGGATCTGGTTGTTCGTGCATGACATTTACCTGCATCTTTTGGATCCAAGACATGGCACTGGGATATTCTCTCCAGCAGCTCCGGAATACGTTCCCGATATTTCTCCACAATTCCAATTTTTACTTCCAGTTGTTTGTCTTCTGCTTTTTCAGCATAGTCCCTGATGCTGGCCAAGCCCTTCTCAGCCCACCTCTTGATGAAGAAATCCTTTATCTCGAGTTTCACTAGGAAGATCAAATAAGAGAGTTTATTTTTTTTTCAAGAGGCAACTGGACTTTCTGTTTTTTCTTTGAAGATGTTTCGCTTCTCCTCCAAGAAGCTTCTTCGGCTCAGACTAGATGGTGAAGGAATGGAAGGATTTATACTCCTTGCAGACGGCTGGTCATTTGCATCCTTTTTAGAGAGATGTTGGAGGCCACTTGGAGGCTCCTATCTGACCTCTTTCCAACCTCCAAGTGGCCTCACCAACTCTCGGAGAGAGTCTAACGACCAGACGAAATTATAAAGTTGTTTATAAATTATAAACAACTTCCTTGTGCTTCATGATAGAATAGAGTAAAATAGAATAGAATGTAGAATAGAATAGAAATAGAATAGAATGCAGAATAAATATAGAACAGAATCAGAAATGAATAGAATAGAATGTATAGAAAAGAATAGAGTAGAATAAGAATAGAAGAGGGAATGGAATAGGGAATGGGAAGAATAGAAATGAATGGAATGGAATAAGAATAGTGTAGAGTAGAGTAGAATAAGAATAGAAGAGGGAATGGAATAGGGAATAGAAAGAATAGAAATGAATGGAATGGAATAGGGAATGGAACAGAATAGAGTAGAATAGAATATGAATGTGAATATGAATGTGAATATGAATAGAATCGAGTGTATAGAATAGAACAGAACAGCACAGCACAGAACAGAATAGAATAGGGAGTGGAAAGAATATAAATAAATAGAAATGGAAATGAATG